AGATCTATCTGGCTATTGATGAAAAATTACATAGAATTAACTAATATTTGGCATTGGCATATGGATAAGAAAGAATATGCCTGATCAAGTTAATGAGCATAAATGCTGATCAAGCTGTTATTGCAAGGAATAAACACTTGCCATAAACTGAGATCTTCTGACTGCCCACAACCATTCTTAGGTTATTGCTTGCACCCCCCAAGTAGTCAGTAGAATGCCTTCGATACTTCAGGAGGAATTGGCAAAAACACCAGCTATCCCGAAATGTTATATCTACTTTTGAAAGCATCCACTTGGCTCGAGCTTTTGGTTACAAAGAAGAGTCCGGGTAAACTTGGAGCCTCTTGGTGACCTAAGAAGCAACATACCAATGAAAATTGAGTTTGTGGTTGGCAGAAAAACTCTGGAGAATGCTAATGGAAATTGGTTATTTTGTGCTTTTAATGCTTCTACTTAAAAGTTTTAAACATTAGGTGTATTGCCTGTATTTCAAATCTAATTGTTTCTGATAAGCTATCAGCAAAAAGTTAATGCTTATATTTAATTAAGTGGCACTTTCCAGAATTACTTTGCCAGTAGTACTATAATTAAATGATGTGAGAACAGCCTTTGATACATACACTCATATTCTTTGCTAATACCAAAAATAGAATCTGTAAATCTGTAAATAGAAAAACTAGATGCATTAAGCAGCAGGCCAGAGCAGCAGGCCATGAAGGCTACAGCCATTACCACATCAAAAGGACTAATATTAATATCTCTCTAATGCAGCATTTTTAAGCATTTCTTGTGTTCTGATGGGCTTTTCATAATTGACCTCCATAAGTCATAAAAAATTATTAGAAAAAAGAATCTGGGAACTACGTGAATTACTAATACCTCCTGGAATGCTGCCACATTATTTCCATCATTAGGTTATAGCTACCAGTTAGGCCTGAATTCATCTCACTTAGCTTCAGCCATCTGTAAGGTGGCTGTCAAGGCACTTCCGAGGAAAGAGAGGCAGCCCAGAGACAGAGCTCCAGAGGGCGGTTTGTTCTTTACTAAAATACATCTCCAAAGTGGGTGGAATAAATCGTGCCCTGGAGGTGCCCCCTCCTTCTTCCTCTCTTCACAGTCAGAGGCCTTAAACTAGATGCTTAACTTTTAGACAGCTGAAGTGAAACCAGGCCTTTCCCTCATATTCCCAGGTGAGAGTTGCAAATTTGTGAACAATGAAGATCCTTCGATAACAGAATTTATTCTGACTTATGACTCAGCACCTGGATACCAGCCCAGGTCTGCCTGGATCTTTGATACTGGCTTCAACAGACCCACCAGACTTTATCAGATTTTGTTACTGGAATGTTGAGCCTCTGCCAGCACCACCAGATTTAACGCTCTTTAACACAATATTCCAGGCTTTTGCTGCAAGCAGCTAGCCATAAAAACATAGAACGCTTTTACTTTATAGTTTTGCAAATACCTTTGAAGAAGGTTTTCGGAATCTAAAAGCTTTTCTATTTTATTAGTCCTGTAAGTAGATCTAATTAAACGTTACCTCCTTCTACAGTTCCTGACTCTAAAACCTTTCCAATGATGTTACCTGTGATGAGGAGGAAGGTGGGTTTGGCTCTTTAATTTATGCAGTTCCCCCTCTTGTTTATCTCTGTTAATTTTTTACACAGAGACTGCAAAGTCCTTTTGTTGCATGGAAAACACTGACACAGGCAGTCCTTATTTAAGGGCTTTCAAACTATTGTAAGACATCTAAATATGATTAACACTAAAGCTTTTAAAAATAATTCTGAGAAAACTGATATGAGTGTGACTGAATATACAGATCAGATCGAACTATGGGTCAGAAGAATTTTAATGAATTCTTGGGGAATTAATCAGTCCTGTCCTGTGGCACTTGAACTGTGTAACTTGAATGAGAGAAAGGGGGGTAAAAAGGTGGTTCAGCAGTACCTGACTATAGTTACGAATGTTATCAGAGAGCTACTCTTAAAAGCAAAGTAATCGTAGCCACAGTATCAGCTTTGAGGTTTGGGTGATCTGGGAGAAGCAGAGACTTTGCCTGGACACACACAGATTAGATCACATTAACATGAAAAATCTTAGTGACTGAGCTGACCCGCTGAAGATCTGAAGGGGCAAGAGGTGGGTGTGCAGCTGTACTGGGCTAAGGCAAGAAGTGCACTGGGCAGAGGCAACGTTCTTCTGATCAGAAAACAGAAGCCAGGAAAACAAGCCCATGAATGTCTATGTTTTTGAAACTACTCTTTAAATTATATTTCTCTGTTAAGTTACAGGAAGCTGATGAAAAGGCATAAAAGTCTGTCACTATTAACGTTTTTATAGATTCATCCTGTCAGTCTGGTGCTCCCCAAATTACTGGTAACTTGTAACCCACTTCTGTGCGTGAAAAGACATGTAGGGTTAGACCTTGTCAAGATGACTTCAGATGCAATGCTTGGTCATTTAGCAACAGGGTCAGCTTGAACCACAGGAGGGAAGCAGAGACTTCTTCCTTTGGTAGGAGCTGAGCAGCCTGATGGCCGCTCTGTTAGAGGCAACTTCAGCCTGGAGCCTCTGGAGTTACTTCTCCCCATTCCTAAGACCTTGAGATATAAACAGAACTCCCTTAGCTGCTACCTCTGAGCAGCCTCCCGCAGAGTCGGTAAGATTGGCTCCTGCCTGGGTGCAGTTCCAGAGCTGACCAAACCTTGTGCTTACGGGTGTAAGGGAGTGAAATCTCGCAGGACTGGTGTGCTGGGGACAGTCATGTCAGCGGCTCTGCAAAGGCTGGCTCAGGCCTGGTGGGGGCAGTCTGGGGTCATGCTGATTTACTACAGGAGTTTTGGGGGTACTGGCTTTGCACACTCACTTGGATCTGCAGTGTGTTCTTCAGTATAGCCCACAGTACCCCTTCCGGCTGGCTTTGCCATGGGCTGTGTTTGTTGCAAGCCCATGCCTCTCCCAGTAACCCAGAGAATAGAAAATTAAATATCAAGTGCATAATATAAACAAACTTTTAAAAAACTAAATTTTTTTTGTTATTGTTCAGTGTTAGATAATCTGAGATATCAAAAATAATAAGTTAAAAAAAATGGTGCCCTAATAAGTGATATTGGTAATTGGTGGCTGTGCAAACCACCTGGTCTGCAAAGCCTCAGGAAATGTATTCATATCCCACTTCTAAGACAAAGACAAGCATAAACCAATTAAAATATATTTTTGAGTTTTTAAAATAATTACACAATCTTGTATTTCTCTCTATAACTTTGTTTGGGAACACTTATTTACATTCTCTGTGTTTTGCTGTAGAAAATGCCAAACTCGATTTCGTACTGCTAGCTCTGACCTCAGCTGTGAGCAAGGCACTTTACCTTCTCATACCTTACTTTCTCCAAATGCAAAATTGGTCTCTAAGCCTACCCAAACACTATTCCTGTATCTAAAGAGTGCTAATGGTGAGGTATGTGGTCTAAAGTCAGAACAGTGTTAGAAAATCTATGGGCAAATTAATGTAATGCTAGCAGCCGTACAACAATTGTGTTAAAGCAGTAGTGGTCCTGGTTGCATTGATGTAGACAGTGTTGTGATTTCAGCTCTGTAATTCCATACAGATTTATGCTTCTTTGCCACTGTTCTGCTTATGTGGATAAACAGAAAATTTTATGGTTGACATCCATCGTGCCATAACTTTAACATAAAATCTACTCTGTGAACAATTAAAGTAAAGTAACTGCCTCATGGGCTGCTTCTAGACTGTTTACTGCTGGTGAGACTTTTACAAGACTGAAAACTTTTCAGTTTGTACTCAGCTGTCATCAGTTATGAAATGCTGAGGAAAAAACTCTTTACTTCTACATCAAGAAGCATTTAAAGCATTAAATCAAAATTTTATATGATCTCCTCCCAAACTACGCAGTACTGACCCACTACTTGCCTTTGCACTTGCTAGGCTGGGAATATTCTAGTCTAACCTACTAGCTTCTTTTTTTTTTTTTTTTTTTTTTTTTCCAAGTTGATCAACAACTCGGACTTCACAGCTACTTGCTACTGAGAAACTAATAATGGTGCTAGGTGTCTCTTTGATCTAATTTTAAATATTCATTTCCATGACCACAGTTCAGCATCAAATCTCACAGAACAGTATTTCTTTCGAAGCTTGTATGTCCCTCAAAGCACCAAGACTACACTTTTCTTAGGGTTGTCTCACTACTTGCCTTGCTGATTTGTATTAGGTTCTCCTCTGTCTTATTCCAAGCTTGCTTTTTTCTTTTTGGATGGATCCTACTCCCACATAAACAGCTCTAAAATAATGTGTAGCCTTTTAATTGAATTTATTTGGGGAGCACGTATTTTAGGTGTGGAAACTCTCAAATTTCACCTTGGTGATCTATAAATCAATGCCTCCTCGAAGTTTTAAAATAAAGGGCAAGAATATAATTTTACAGCAATTTAAATCATGGACAAAGTCCAAATTTTTAAAATAGAATAATAACTTGGCTGCTTATACTTTTCTCTCAGCCATGCCACTTAGAAAACCACATACTCAAATATCACCCAAAGCGTGCTTAAATACATTCGAAGAGCGCGAGGCCCCTGTACAGGTGCCAGCTGGAAAACAACGAATCTACCCTCAAAAGAATGACGCGTGAGGATTCCAGGTTTTGAAAATAAGGCAGAGACGCACGTGGGAGGAGGAGGGAAGAAATTTTGTCTGCTCGCTTCTAGCTGCCAAGCTCACCTATTCAAAGAGTGTTTTTTTAAATTATGATTTTTTTTTTCCTGATTCTCCTCATTTTCCCCCACCCAGCAGCACACCGGGACAGCACTTTTTTTTTTTTTCTTTTCCCCCCCTCAGAGGACCAGGGAGGCGCCCACCTCAGCCCCACCTGAGGGGCGGGCGCGCGGCCCCGCCCCCACTGCAGGGCCGCCGTCCGCCGGCAGGGGGCAGGCTCCGCCCGCGCGGCCGGCCGGACAAGCGCCGCGCCGTTCGAGAAACTTCCGGAGACAGCCGGGCGGAACTGACGCGACGCGGTGACGCCGCTTCCTGTTTGCGGCTGAAGGCGAACTGCCGCCGTCGCCGTTGTCCCGGGGCTGTCGGCGCGGGGGGAGCGGCTGCGGCGCTGCGGGAGCGGGTGAGGAGCTGCGGCGGGGCGGGGCGCGCCTCGGCCGGTCGTCTGAGAGCAAGGGGTGGGGGGGAAGAGCGGGACCCGGGCCCGCGGGTCGCGGCAGCCGTGCTGGCGGGAACGGGGCCTGCCGGCGCGGCTGCGTGGGGCGCCGGTCGGCGCCGCCATGCTGCGCGTCCCCGTGGGCAGCCGGCGTGCCGCCCGCCTCGGGACTCTGCCCGCCCGGCGGGGAGCCGCGGCCCCAGCGGGGTTTGCGCGGGGCGGGCGGTCAGGGAGCTCCCCCCGGGCGCAGCGCCGGCCTCGGGCTTCTCCCCCGGCCCGGGGCGGGGGTGGATGCGCTTTTGGATCCCCGGGCCGGGCGGCCCCGCGTGGGATTTGTGTCCTGCTTGCTGCGAGTAGAGAAAGCTTAGGGAAAAACAAAAAAAAAAATCGTCATTTTCATTTCTGCTTTCAGTTACGAAAAGGTAAAAGTTTGCGTTGGGACACCCTCCGTTCAACCTTTGCTCTTGAGTGTGTTGAACAGACGTTTTATTTCAAGGTATTTTCTTTTGCAGCGTGTTTTTTTGGCATGGTTATAAACTAAGCGTACTTTTTCCCCCTTTTCTTTCCTTCCCCCCCGTTAGAAGTGGCTTATTTAAGCTCTGTTCTGTGTTTAGTAACTCTCATAGTAGGGTCAGTAGTAAGGTTTGTCGTGGGTGAAGGCTCTAGTGGTCAGGTGCTTTGAACTCGCTATTGCCATGTTCCAAACTGAGTTGAAAATTGTCACTGGCGGGTAAGGAAGGTAGTTTGTTGTCAGTTTTTGATGGATTTAGGAAAGGGCAGTGAGTTGCGAAGTAAAGTTATTTATGATCAGTATTCCTGTTTGCAGCAACACTGTATACTGTGTTGCAGTTCTGTTGTCAGAGCTCTCCTTGGCTGCTGTAAAACCTGTGCTGCAAGCTTCAGCCATTCTAGTGAAGGCATTAGAAAAGATTGAAAATACTGAGGAAACTTGTTTTGAATTCCGATAATAATAAACTACTTGTTTGGTTCTTATCTGGGCACAGTAACACCATAGAAGCTAAATTTATGACAATGCTAATGTGCAAATGGCTAAGCTTGTGACATTGCATAGTCAATCAGTGATCAAGCTGTGAGTTTCTAGGATATAAAGTGTCAAAAAGTGATAAGAACAAGGTGTTGGCACAGAGGGAACAGCTGGAATGAAAGGAGGCTATGCCTTTCTGGTCCTCTGAGGTTGCAGTTACTGCTGCCAGCTGACCTTAGTTTTGTTTACTCCTTGGAAATCCTTGTACTCTGGTTAGGAGGGCTTTTATGTTCAGCAGATGATCAAGAGCCTGGTGGTTCAACTACCATTTAGTTTGCTGGATTATGTTGTTAAAGAAGATTTGTTTGGACCAGTGAGTAAATGTATTTACAGATCTTGTCTCTGTGATTACTTTTTTTATGGTATTTTAAGCAACCAAAATGCTAATCTAGTACACAGTTCTGGTCTAACTTTACTTCCCCCTCTTGGCTCTCACGTTTTCTTTTAAGTGGAGAACAAGAGACCGTTGGAAATGGAAGATAGTTTAGGATTAAATTTTCTTAAATAATCTCGGATATTGGAGGGAAAATTTAAATTGCTATTTTTACTGGCAGTGCTGTTTAAACTGCAATGTTAATAATAATTTCTTTATCTGTTAACTGCAAAGTTCCCCTTATTCTCCATCAGATTTGCCTTTTTAGCACTTGTGCTTTCTGACTACAGCACGCTCTCACCAAAACAGGTTTTCTCTCTAGTATTTTCTTCTGTCTTTCTGAGGTTGATGCAGTTTGCTAATTCATCTTGGCAGGACTTTGGAAGAAAGGTTGTAAGGCTTCACTTTTGTGTAACACAGAATTTTAAGTTGGAGGGATAATGTGTTTATTGTTTAATAGATATTTTAATTACTAGTGTACTTTTTCTTTCATCCACTTGAAGTTTTGGAATGTGCATGGAGAGAGAGGAGATTGTTAAATTATCATCCCAATAACAAGGATATATGAGTTTCTAATAGTATTTGGACTGTACTGAGGAAAGAAATACCTGGTGTTTTGTTCCATTCTGTTTATGTTTTTTAAACTGTAAAACTTTCAGAACCCCTGCTTCTGTACATGGGTGCAGTTAGGTCTTTGAGCTGAGGTCGAGTGGGATGGGAGCGATGATTGTGTTTTACTGTGAGTCCCGAGGCATTGAAGTTCTAGCCAGGAATTGACTGAAATGTCACATCAGGTTGGGCAGTGAGTGCAGCCACCCGTGTTAGCTGGGTTCTGCTCCTGTGCTGCTGGCTGTAGAGCATAGTGCATCTCCATCATGTCAGTACACTGGACTTCCAGACTTGAGCGGACCATCTGTTTCTTACCATATAAATAGTGATTTTTTGACGGGAATGTATTGCCTTAATTTTCAACTTAGGTGTGTGAGGTTTAATATTCTAGTGTTTTGCTCCTTAGGTAGGAAGTGCTCCATTTCTATAATAGCATTTATGAAGAACCTCATCAGTTGTGTCCTGAAAATGTTTCTGTCAACAGCTTTTCCTTTGTCTTGATTTATTCAAGGAGTGGAAGGATTAGTGAGAAATTATTTAGCTCTGTCAAAACTTGTTTGATGGTACATATGATGACTGTTTATTTCAAGATAGATTTAAATTAAAACTGTAGCTGATTATATTGGTATGTTTAAATTACATTTGCTTTGCTTTTGGGTGAAATACTACATTTGAATGGATGTTAGATTTTTCTTAAATTTAGATTTAATGAAAGCATTATTCTGCTTCTGTTTATTTAACTGATAGGGAAGAAATAATGCATATGAGTTTCACTTCTGCAGTTACTTGTAGGTTTCATTTATGTTTTCTATTTGTTCTGAGTAAGTATTGAAATCTCCTTGGTATTAGCAAGGACTCAGCACTTAACAAGGATCTTAAAGCTCATATAATAGGTCTGAAGCCATTTGTAGCTACATTGCAGCCATTTTTTGTCAAAACTTAGTTAATTCTTTTGATTAGAAGAAATTATTTTCTGTTAAAATGTAGTCTGAATCTATGAGCGTGTCGCTGTTCTGAAAAAGAAACTGATGGTTGGTTTAAGTAAAATTATGCCTCTGAAAACTACTTCAGAGGAAGTGTGTAGAAACTTTATTTTCTTTTCCCTGAAGGATCGTCTGGTTGCATGTGATTATTTGGCTGAAACTTTCTGGACCTGATCTTTGCCAGTTGAGGCTTTCGTTGTTTTTAATCGCTTAATCAAACACAGATCATACATTTTTAAAAATGAGTTAGGAATATTTTTACTTTGTATAAAATAGCCTTTTATGGTTAGTTTTAGGAGGGTGCCAGTGTTCCAGATATCTGTATGACACAATTCCAAATTTGGACACCTGTGTAGTTGTGTTTTGGAAAAATGCCCCTCTGCTTTAAGGAGAGATCATGAATAAGTACCCCTTGATTTAAGGCATGCTCATAGATCAGATAGATAAGCAACAGAGTATCAGCCAAGGGTGTAAGGATAGCCTATTCACTGATAGCCTGCTCACTGATCTACTTCCTTATCCAGTTCTTGGTAGCTAGTTTATCTTTCTTTCACATATGAAGATTTTAGATTGCTTCTGTTTCCGTTTGTGGCAGGTTAATTGTTTTTTAATGGTTTCTTACTTGTTGCCCTCTACAAGGTTCTCCATGTGCCAGGCAGTAATACAGACCAGAAAGTCTGGTAGTTATTGCTGCAGCTGTGTCTTGCTCCCCTTGGGGAGGAGAGGAATGGACAATGGACAGGGTTCTTTAACTTCTCACTTTGAGGGGTGAGGGAGCCTTGTACAGGTGGCTCTTTTTTTTTGGTTGTGGTGGGTTTTTGTTGTTGTTTTATTTTTAAATAGAACTTGAACTGCAAGGTAAAGCAGTCGGCCTAGATACCTTGCCCCTGTATAAACTGCATCCTCTCATATAATAATCACTGTATTCAAATCCACTCTGTTTTCTAACAGAAACAGGATGTTTGATGTAAACATGAGGTTAAACTAAGCTTTTCGGAATGCTCATTTTACTGGATTCATCTCATGGGGATGCTGTGGTACCATTAATGTAATGAGTATAAACATTACTATTTAGGTACATTTTATTAACTTTAATTATACGGTAAATTTACATTTTTCCACGAAGCGATACATTTCAGGAACCTGTGAAGTTAAACTGTGACAGCTTTTCTAAGCTTAAGTAGAGGTTAAAAATACTGAGGTTTTTAATATACCTTAGCCTGTCCCACACTATGCATATATCAGTAAGAAGAAAAATTTAATGTTGGTGCATTTTAAAATGTATTTGTCATATAAATTAATCACAAACTTTATATGAGTTTTATTGCTCTATATTATTGCACTCAGAAGAATTAAAATAACTTTATTTTGATTCCTTAGGATTCTTAAACTTCCTCTTAGAAAACGATTTTCTGGTATACAGTGTGGGTGTTTTTGTTAGCACTTTTTCGGTGCTAGCACAGTGGACCTTTGCTAGTACAGCCACAAGACTAGGTCATGGTCTCAGTTCAGTTATGTGTGGCACATCCCAGCTATTGTTGCTAGAACTGACAAAGAAATTGGGATTGGCCAAGGTTCTAGGACTTGTGTAACTTACTGTGTTGTCAAGTTGTACTAGGTAAAATGCATTTGATTATTGTCCGAGTGGTGCTCCATTATGAAGAGTTGCGGTGTGAGATTTGTCTTTTGGTTAGGCTGCAGAATGACACCAGAAGGCAGCTTCTACAACCAGTATCTGTGTGTTAAAGGAAGTGACATCTTCAAGCCAGTGAGAACTCCTTGGGCCACTGATACAAATGCGTTTCGGAAGCTTTAGCAAATAGTGCTTTATGATTGATTCTTATTTACCCTTCTTTTAGATGGGTAACTTGGAAAGATACAGGCAGGTAATTACAATTCATGAATTGCATTTGAAACCTGTAGCTTGTGAGCAAATGAAGTGACTGAAGGTCATCTGAAGTTTGTTACTTTAAGACTGGAAATATTTGTACAAGTCTCTGAATTTACTGTAAATAATAAAAAGCTTAGCAAAGGTGTATTAGCTATGTAGAAATCAAATGAAGGAACACTAGAAAAATTTGGAAGTGTGTGTCTGTTGCTTGGTATTCTTTGTATGGTCCTGGATCCACAACAGTGTTAATGTTACTGTTAGTCTTGCTTATCCTTTGAAGCAGTGTAAAATTTCATCAGGTCCAGCTGACATACTGCTTTCTAATAAAATTACTGGAATGTGAAAAATTGTGTTTTCTTAGTCATAGATTGCAATCCCCAAACATCCTCAAGTGTTTGCATCATCTATTAACATACCAGAGACATCTCTATATTGCTCAGTTGCTGTTGAAGTAGGTCAGACGCAAGCTCAAGCTGAATGGGGATTCAGAACAGAGTATTTATTTTTCCTGTGCTGCCAGCAGGATGCAGTCCTTCAGGTACGTTCATAGAAAGCAGGCAGGTACTAGAAATTGGATGGCTGTGCAGCTTGCACAGGGTGTTGATGACTGGCTGCTTCTGTGAATTGCATGAATCAGGAATTTGGAACTCCATCTCTCTCCACCCAGGTGACTGCACCAGTCACTAAGCTTGAGCTATTCTGGCATCTTTCAGGACTCCAAGCTGCCCCATTGCTTCATGGCCAGAAATAGATAACTTTTTCTGACTAGGCTGACTGCAAAGGTCACATGCCCCTTGCTGTCTGAATTCCCTCCTGACTGATTTCAGAAATTCTTGTTTGGATACCTTTCTCCCTTCTGTATTTAGTTAGGGGTGCTGCTTTGTCACCTCTGCAGTTTGTGTGTCTGCCCTTTTTTTTTTTTTTTTTTTCTTTGTTATCTGATCTGTAAAAGTTTATAGCTCTCTACATATCTATCTTCTGTAATTCTTCTCATGCCTTTTATGTAGTCGAGGACTTGGCTGTAAAGAGTTTATGAGCTGGGTTTCAAGATAGCTAAACTGATCTAGCTTTGGGCTGTGCTGTAAGAGAGAGGTCTCAAGCCCGGTCATGTACTCCTGTCTCTTGCCTTGGCTCAGTGTGAGCATTCAGGGCTTCTGCTCCATAAACTAGAACAAAGCCAACTTCTCCTGTGATAACTGAGAAACCTATAAGCTATGAAAACTTTTGGCTCATATAAGCATTTGGATGTTTGACTTGTTCATGCTCCAAAGGAGGAGTCAGAGTAGCTGATAGCATTCTATAAACATAGGGCAATTATGAACACAAGTAACTGTAGATTTTTTGCAAGGAAACATGAAGGCCGTGAAACAACTTCTTTAATCTGGAGTTGTTTTGCTTGTTGTCTCTTCTGAGACTTTGAAGATTTTCTGTGGTTGGAGTTGGGAAATTAGCTAATGTGGGTTGGCTTCCTCATGGCTTTGGAAAAAAACCTTAAGTGCCTACTTAATGAGCCTTGCTTCTGTATTTGGAGACAAATTGTTTGACAGATTTGGGGTTTAAAGAAGATTTTTGTCATGTCATTTTGGTTAGGACAGTTTAGTATTCTTGCTTTTCATTTTGCAGGAAGGTATATGGTTTGCTTTTTTGAAATTTCTAGGCATTTTTAACCTGTGGGTTCCCACTAGCTGTAAAACTACTGATTTTATTTTTTTAATCATCCATTTTCATTTTTGTTCTAAGTTGATGGTCAACAGTTTTCCATTTTGTTATAAATTGATGGTGGTTGTTTTCTTGAGTGAATATTTTAAGTACTTTTTTACTGGAAAGACTGGAGACAGAAGTCTTTTCTAGTTTGTGAGTATTGGGTTAGAGTTCTGTTAAATTTTTTTTGTGTTGTGATTTGTGGTGATGTATTTTGGTTTGGGGGGTGTGTGTTTTTGTTTTTTTTTGTTTTTTTTTTTTTTATCTCACTGGATGTTGAGCAAAAATCCCAGTATTTCTTAGATGATAAATATTAGCTGATGTGGTTTAATATTTTTGCATGTTTTGCTTAAGCTGGACAAAAAAAAAAAAGCTGCAGATGAATTTGTTTTTAATGTAAATATTACTAAAACCCTTCTGCAGACAAAAGAAAAGTTCCTATGATACCTAAAATTGTATCAGTGCAGTTTATGTTTTATGGTAACTAGCAGATAGAAATAATGATTAATTGGAGATGAACTCTTACTGTCACAGGAATGTTTGATTAAGAAAAGGGTAACATAAGCAATTTATTTTCTTTAGAGAGCTGCTGGCTTGTCTTAATTCTAGACTTTATATTAGTGGCCAGTAAAAACTGAGCAATAACACTCTCACAAAAGAACCAGTATGCAAGCCTCAGACATTTATTTGAAACAAACAATTCCTCTGTTCTTGGAGGAGTTGCTTTTTAGGGTCAGAGTAATCTATTAAGAGCTGGTCATGTTGCCTCAGCACTCATGTTTGGTCCCAACTTCAGGCATCTGTTATTTAGGATATATTGGTCTGTGTATTGAGTCTGAACTTGCAGCACTGCAGCAGTGTATTTAAACAGCTAAAGTGTTTCAAGAAATATATGTTGAAATCAATATGATTACCAATGTGCACAGAGTTTCTAGGAAAAGATGTGATTTTTTTTTTTTACATCTAAGTTGCTTTTCCTACCTGCTTATTCTAGCTAGAAGCTAGAGTTTTGAATTTTCCCTTTAAGATACCTGCCTAAATTGAGAGGACTTCTAATGCAAGTCTAGTATTTATGAAAAAAAAAAAAAAGGAGAATATGAAGAAAAACACTTAGCAATATGGTATGTAGTCGTGTTGTGGCTTCCTGCTGTGAGCTCACTGGTTTTAGGCTATTATATCTTCTTAGGAGGGGCTCTGACATCTAGCTTGGAGCTTGACTCATACTAGATTTCTCCCCCACCACCTGATTTCTTTCTGTAAACTATATGTTCCATATATGCTATTACTCATAAGGATTGGTTATGGGATTTGACATAGTTAACCAATGCTAACCTTGCTCCACACTTGCGTATTCATAGAGCTGGTCTTCTAATCGTTGTTTGGGAAACAGAAAAACTAGTAAGGCTAGTTGATAGCTAATATTCTGGGATATTATTGGTAATCTGTATGTTTACATATTGATCTCTGCCATTACTGTATTAGTATTGGTATTTTTAATGTTCATTTTAATGTGTGCCTCCCAGCTTCCCTTGGAGTTGGTCACAATATTAACTATACCCTTACTTTTTTGTTTTCAGTGTGGAGGTTTCTTTAAAGGGCAAGGTCAATTAGAGGTTTGCTTACCTGTTATGCTTTAATTTTGCGTTTGTGGGACTGTATGGTTAACTGGATTGCTAAAACCGCACAAGTTTTAAAAACATGTAGCTCCTCCAATACATTTGCTTCTGTAAGTAATTAGGAGGGGGAGGCAGTGTGACAGGGTATCTCTTAAGCTGTTTTTGCCATTTGAGGAAATGTTTGTGTAACCACATCCTTAGTTAAAGTTAAGTGAGCTTTAACCTGCAGCAGCAACGTATTTTGAAGATGTATCAATTTATTTTAAAAGGCAGTCTTTCTTTAATGGTTATATCTCAGGATGTTGAAGGATACATGTAATCCTAGTACAATAAATTAACTTCATTGTATTTCACTGGACTATATTATGCTTGGGTCTTTCAGCATTTATGTGAAGGAACATGAAAATGTGACTAATACATTGCTGTGTTGTTTTATTCTAAGTATATTTGGGTGACTGCAACAAGTTGGTAACTCATTGAAAAGGTCAGTGTTGCCTCGTTCGTAAAACTTGGAATGAACCAGTAGCAGTGGTAGGATGGAAAGGTGGTTGGAAGTTTTGCTAGAATGGAGACTTGTTATAGTGGTTGGGAGAAAGAAGACTGCATGAAGAGATTAAATGTTCTTTAAATTTTTAGAAAGGTTCTTTAATCTTAGCGGTCATTTTGTTGAAGTAATGGTTAGTATAACTGTTTCTTGTAACTATTCTCTGATATTGACAAAAAACTGTCAGTATTTAAAATGAGTAGGGCAAATGCTTTTTCTTTTAGCTTGTAGGTTTCTTAGGACTCTTGTGAAAACTTCATTCTCTTATACTAAGAAACACAAGGTATCTCTCTGCTTGAATTGGTTAGTTAGCTGTGCAGTTTGAGAAATCTTGCCTGGCTATGTACTTTGTGTTGGTAAGCATAAAGGAAGTAAATGGAATTCAGTAGCTTTGGCAATATGTGAATTTTCTGTCAAGACTTGAGTACAGGAAGGGCTTATGGGAAACTATAGCTGGAATTTCAGATTACTAAGACCTGCATATACATTGCTTTTTTGAAGGGAGCGTCTCAGCAGAAGTAATATTCTGAACAGTAGATGTGAAAGATATGGCCCTTTGTTTATGCTTATATGTACTTACGACATGACATAGGTGGCAGAGATGACATAAAGTGAACATTAGATGTGGTTTCTTTTGCATTCAGAGTTATTAATATATATATCAAAATGGTGACACACTGCACATACTTTTCTTAATATACTGATTAAATCTAGTTTTTCACTCTAATTTGATTCAGGAACCTGCTGTTTACCTATGTCCTCACTGTTTCAGTGCGATTAAAGAACATAAAAATCAGAATCAAAGTAATTGTTTGAACTGTCGACCTAAAGTCAAGCATTTTTATTTTGGGGGGTTTGGAACATTCAAATTTCTAAAAGCAAGCAGCTCTCAGATCAGATTTGGTACTGGAAGATGCCAGGCTCCTACCTGACTTTTATGAAGTAGCGTTACTGGGCAAGCTTCATTTACAAGTTCTTGTTGTTACAGGACTTGAAAGACTCAGCTGTTGTTAACAAGACAACTACTGAAACATGGTGGATTACTATGAAGTTCTGGGAGTGCAAAAGCATGCCTCAGCAGAAGATATTAAAAAAGCGTAAGTATCACTGCTGTGTATGTATGGTTTATATATAAGATACATATATTTTAAGGAACAAATATAATCACGTGGTTTCTCACTTTGTTGTCAATACTAGGATGCGTAGTGGTCACCTGAGGTGATGCCTTTGCTAACAGATAAATATTCAGTGTTCTGAAGAAAAGGCATTTTCTCATTTTTATGAAATTGGGATAAGAATCTTGAGTACTGCTAAAATGAAAATGCCATTAGTCACTGTTTTTTGATCACTGTTAAATACATCTCTGTACAAGTGTGCCTCCAAACTTGTTACGGTACAGGTAGTGACAGCCCCTTCTTTTGTGGCTGAATTGCAGTAACTAGTCTTCCCCTCCATTTGCAGAGGTGCTTTTTCAAAGTTATTAACAAGTATTTGGCATACTGCTTTCCTGGATACTAGCTCTTTCTTAACATGTGTTCTGGTTTCTGTGCCTAGATTTTGGTGGACTAAACATCAGCTACTATTAAAAAAAACCCCACTGTTTAAATTAAGAGTGTTCAAAGGCATTAAATACAGTTCTTTGTTTATATTTACTGTTTATGTGCTGTTTTAAGGTAGGTGTTTCCAACATTTTCAAAAGATACCATTTAGTTTTCCACAAACAATTGGGAGGAAATGTTTCTGTAGTACACATTTCTAGTATACTGAAACTGTTTGACAATAAATTACAGTTTCAATAGACTTGGAAATACTGTGTTTCTCTCCTGCCTTCTAGGTGCCTGAGCTTGCTTAATCAAATTGCACTGGTGCATGGAAGTTTGATTTATGTTTCTTTTTTCCTCCCTTGCATGTGCACCAATTTGCAAAAGAACTACTTTGTCAACTCAAATGTTGGAACTGTGATCTTGTATGACTCTGAAATCGATCTCCAAATCATGCTAAGTGCAAGTTTAGCTTTGCCTCTTTAGTTATGAACACTTTGCCTGAAGTACTTTGGTTGAGAATAGGAATTGTGTGCAAGTGTAGCAGTCAAAGAAGCCAGTGATGTCAGGATACTGCTACAGTGTTGGTATCAGGGTGCTCTTAAAGCTCTGTCATCTTTGTCTGTACCAGAATACTCTTGATGCTTCCTATGGTTGGTTATAGTATTGAATAACTATGGAGCTGTAAGGAGCCCATAGCAGAAATGTTATGGAATATTGTGCTTGGACCTGCCAGATGTTGATCATCAGAAATGCACAAGAATAATCTCAAAATAACTAAAACCCCCAAACCTACTTCTTCCTTTTTTTTAAAAAAAAAAAAAAGGCAAATCTGAGTAGATGGTTCTTTGTGTACCTGCAGAATCTGTTGGTACTGGTCAAGATGTGACACACAAACCACAGGGAAATCTCTAAGTATTTTAATTCCTGACAACATGTTTGAAACATTTTGTGTTTATCTGTATGGCATATTCCTTCATTTCAGAGTAAAATATTCTTTGTTTTCCTTCCATTTAGGTACCGTAAACTGGCATTAAAATGGCACCCTGATAAAAATCCAGACAATAAAGAAGAGGCAGAACGGCAATTTAAACAAGTAGCTGAAGCCTATGAAGTTTTGTCAGATGGTAGGTATTTTAAAAGGGCTCTTGAACTGCAGGGCTCTAGTGTGGGTATCAGACTGAAAATGCTAATATATGATGCTTTAAAGGGATATTGTAACTTTGGTTTGCCATCTAACTCTACTACTTAATTTTCAGAAGAAAAGAGAGTAAAAGAAGCTTGCAGATAAGACAGAATATGCAGAAACTTTGGAAAAAAAAATTCAGGATCTCTCTAGATTAGTAATCATGATCTCTCTAGATGAGTAATCAAACCAGTTTTCTTCTGGAAATTGAAATCATATGTTTGCCAGGAATCATATGTTTTTCAGAAATTTCTGAAGAGATATCTATGGATACCAAGATCCATTTTATCTTAGGAGGTAATGTCAATGTTACCATCAGTATAGGGGAATTACTGTGTTTATCCAGTAGGTATCAGGCTAGTCAAACTCTGAATTATCTACTGCTCTTAGTCCTTGTAACAAACTAGTCTTGATAAAGCCAAAGCATACTATAAACCGTGCTGGAAATTTGGATTGTGTTTAGGAGAATTCCATAAATTCAGTCACTGTGATACTGAGGGGAGTGTTTGAATTCTTCTGAAACAGTTGCTTAGCCTGACGCATGTTATGCAGGAATTCAGCTTATAATTCACCCGTATCTTTTTGCCTGAAAAGTATCATTAACTTTTATTAGTGTTCTGGCAAAAGGAGCCTGAATCATAACAAAGTGATTTTTCCCTTGTAATTGACTGCAGCTGTCTATGTGCTATTTCTGAAGTGTCCTTGATTTCACCTGAAACCAGTGAGCATGGGAAAGCTATATTTAAAGCACTAGCAGCATCTAGATTAACTCTCAGAATTTGACCTGGTTTATCAAGCTTTGGTCTTGTACACTGTTTCTTTGTTTGGTTTTGGTGCTTAATTGACATGAGAGAAACAGAACTTAATTTATGGGCAGGTCATTGTACACTTGTCTTCTGGAGTAATTTAACCGTCTTGAGCAAATTTTATGAGCAAGATAAAAATAGGATACTGATCTGGTTGTTTTACAGATCTGTAAGTTCTTCAGAAACAGTACACTGCTAGAGTTTTAGAGCATCTAAAAATGCTGCCTGTTTTTGGACCTAGACCAAATCCTAAGTTACCGGTGTCTTAACAATCATTTGTGCAGCAGGGTTATCTGAATCCTGAGCCCCGTGGTTGAGATGCAATTTACTGTTCTTCAGACTTAATTAAATTTTCTGACACCATTACAGGCTTGAATGAAGACAGATTTTTGGCAGAAGAATAGTTTTGTAAGGCGTTACATAAGCAAAGAATACTGAAATTGGGTGATCGTAGAACACACTTCCCTTGTGATTTCAAGAATATTAAATTTTTCAAGCTGAACTTTGGGCTTTGTGAGCCCTCAGGTCTTCCTCACTGTTTCCTGCTCCTTCTGACAGTTTGTCTGCCTTACTGCTTTGGTCTTTTTACATCAGTGGGTAGGTTAACCTCCTTTCTTTAAAAATATCTTTCTAGAGAGACAATACGGATATTGTACCAAGCTTTGCTGGGGATATATGTGTGTGTGTGAACCTATTGCAGGTTTCCATTATTTGGAGATGAGAAGCAGTATATAAAATTTTAATTCCCCTTAGTCAGAAGTATTTTACTTTTCAGCAGCTGTTTGAGGTAACTGCATGTTCTTTCAGTGATGCTATTTAAATTTCAAGAACATCTTTCACTGAAGAGATTCCAGTGGGAATAGCATGTTAATATGAAGAGTCTAAAATCAGATGCCCTGGCTGGTTTTTGGCTGATGCTTTCACACCAGTGCCAGAATAAATAAGCTGCCTGCCTCTCTAAGATCTTCAGATTCCCTTCTGGTACCAAGAGTGCGGTCTGATCTTATGTAGTAGTTATTTTTTCTCCCTTTTCTTATGGATAGTGGAAGGCTGGTCTGCAATGAAATTAAGAAATAGCCATTCCATGCTTTCTGAAAATAATAGAGAGAAAGCATTTTGTCAAATCCGTCCATAGCATTTTTTCAACATCACTTCATTCCCCAATATTAAACTAGAAGTTGTTATAATTAATTTGAGGGGGTTTGCAGTCACTCATACAAACACTGTCCTTTCATTCTCATAACTTGTTACAATAGGCATGGTCTTGTGCAATAAAAGGAAAAGGGGTAATGGTCAAGATTTGCAACAAGAAAAATTCCAGTTGGATAGTAGGTGAGACAATGAGAATGCTTGAGCACTGGGACTGTTTTCCAGAGAGACTGTGGAATCTTCTTTTCTTGGAGATTGATGAGATCAGGGCTTTATCCAGGAGAGTTTTAACCAACTTTGAGATTAGACTTACTTGGAGGAGAAGGTTGAATTCCAGAGGTCCTTTACATCCTAAAGCTTTCAGTGGTACCTGTATAAAGATGAAAACTGAGGTATTCTTCTTAAAGGTAAACTTGATTGTGAAGTTTGTCCTTTTACCAGATTTTTTCTGATACAACAGAACCTGAGCTTCTACAACTAAATGCTAATAAGTCTACAGTTTAGTCTCTGTTCTTTCTGAACCTAAATTACTTCAGCAATCCTCAGCATAAATGTTCACCAGTTACATGCCAGAACTTTCTTAAACTAGCTTTGAGAAGATGTTAAGCCGAGAATAACAGTTAGTGTCTTTTTGGCTTTTTTCAAATTCAATGTGCCTATTTACTGACATGATGTATGACTTCTCATTGTAGCTAAAAAACGTGACATCTATGACAGATATGGAAAAGAAGGCTTAATAAATGGAGGCGGAGGTATGTTGACAACTTAAAAGTTCTTTGCTTTCTATATTCTGATGGAAAGCCATTTCCTTTCTTTTTAAGAGAGGAATCTGGAAATACCTATACTAAAGTCTAAAATGTAATCTTCTGAAAATTGAAATTACAGTTGTTTTTACCTTTTACAACAACCAAAAAAATTGTATTACTGATATCTGGAAATAGAGAAAAGAGAATTAATTACAGAAAGTATTGTGTGTACTTAACTTCAGTGATAACTGAAATGGAAACGGAAATTTTAGAAACGTGCGCATGGTTTTAAATGATTCAAATACCATATAGGTCTGAACATTCTTGTTAGTAAGAATGTGTGAGGGTAATTGAAATTGAACTTCTTTTTGCAGGTGGAAATCATCATGATAATCCATTTGGATTTGGATTTACATTCCGTAACCCAGAAGATGTCTTTAGGGAGTTTTTTGGTGGAAGGGACCCCTTTTCATTTGACTTCTTTGGTAAGTAATTTGCTGGTCTTAGTTATGTGTATATAAAGTGTGTCTAGAATTTTACTCTTACAAAATAAACATAACTAATACAGCTTTATTAGAAATAGCTCTGAAGACTGGAGGTAAACAATTGGTATTTTGTATTATATTTAAAATGTTTGTTTCCTGTACGTTTCTTCTTGGTTGATTTGATAGTACAGAACAGATATGGCTTGCCAGTTCATGTTTTGTTGGAAGGCCTGGTTTAGAAAAAAAACAAAAAAACAAACAAACAAACAAAAAAAAAACACAAAAACCCAAACAACAACAAAAAAACCACAACCAAACCCCAAACAAACAAACAAACAAAACAACAACAAAAAACCAACAACATAAAAATAATGGTTGCTATGTCTCTGTAGGTTGGAAGGAACTAACGTTCAACAGAAAAAGTATACACTGGAATTCTCTCTTGAGAATTTGACCGAGTGAACTTAGTCTGTTAAATTTGATCTCTTTTGATCTGTAAATATTTAATGTAGCTTTGAGAGCTTCTGAACTGGACAGGTTAGCTGTTACTGTTACAGTGTCGCTCTCAGTGTGAACTTGTATCATCCAAGGAATGAATTTTCTTGCTTCAAAATAAGAACAGCTGCATACATAATCTAGACACTCTCCCAAATTAATGTCACGTGTTTGCTTGGGGGATAGAGCTCCTAAAGGCTCAGACAACTTAAATAGTTCTTGAAGCCTGGATGCTTCATTTAAAGGAAGCAATTATGTGATGAATTTGTCAGTCTTTTAACCATAGTGCTGATGGTCTTTTGTCTTGTGCTGTTCATTGCTGTAGTGTATTAAAGGTCTTTTCAGAGGTGGTAGAGTTCTTACTCAATCTCTCTGTGTATGTTCTGCTGCACAATGCCATGACCTATAAAGCAGGACAGATCCTGTGTTCGGTGTTTAGAGAAAGTAAAAAGTCCCATAGTGAAAACTGCAAGAAATGCACTTGAAAAACAAAACACTCTTCCTATTCAGTGCCTTGATATTGATTAATCTCTATAATAATGTATGTAGATGTTTTAATATTTTGAAAGGTAATTTTTTATCTTTGGCAGTGTTAAGGGGCTAATTCAGCTCAGATTTTAATTACATCTTTCTCTAGTTTGCTATTCAGGGATCATCAGTTGTTGGATGACTCTAATGAAGGAATAGAATAAGGGTTGAAAGGTTAGAGTTTGAACTCAGTAGAATGTTAGTTGATGAATTAGATGAGTAGGTAGAGGAAGAATCTGGTAGAGAATGAGCAGCAGAACTTGATCAATTAGACCCTGTGGGAAATCAGCAGAGGTAGTGAAGGGCAGATTGGAGTCAGCATCTAGCAAAATACTGATGAGTGAAACAGGGACTGAACTGGGAATATTCAACTTCTTCACTGCCCTAGACGAGGATTTCAGTTTAGTTGGGAAGCATGCTCAGCACTGGTTAGGCCACATCTGGAGTACTGTGTCCAGTTCTGGCCTTCCCAGTACAAGGAACAGAGCTAGTGGGTAGAGTGTCCTGTGGAGGGCCACTAAGACAATTAAGGGACTGGAGCTTCTCTCACATGAGGAAAAGGCTGAAAGAATTGCTGGAATTGTTCAGTAAAGAGAAAGCTCAGGGTGAGGGTCTCATCAATGTATATGTGAAGGGAGGGTGTAAAGAAAGTGGAACTAGGCTGTTGTGAGCGGTGCCCAGTGGCAGAACAAGAGGCAGTGGGCACAAATGAAAGTACATGAGGTTCTGCCTGAACTGAAGGTAACACTATTCTACTGTGAGAGTGACTCAGCATTGGAGCAGGTTTCCCGGAGAGGTTGTGGAATCTCCCATGTTTGGAGATACTCAGGAGCTGTCTGGACATGGGTGGCCCTGCTTGAGCCAGGGGTTTGGACCAGATGACTTCGAGGCCCCTGCCAATCTCAGCCATTTTGTGACTGAGTGGTAGAAAACTTAAGAAAAATCTGTGCAGGGTGTTGGATAGGAAGCTAGCGAGGAGGAGCTCGGAGAGAGTGCTTAGCTCTTTTGTTTATTTTTTAATCTAAGATACTTTAAATGAAATAGTTCCCAATCAACTGTCTTTATAGTTATAAAACATATAGGTAAGGCATGTTCTAGCTACTGGGAGACTGACATAAGTTCTGTTTGATTTTGGCTGTATTTACTTCATCAGTACTAGCTGATGTTTAACTTGCTGTCTCTAAAAATGTCAGTGTTCGTGACTAACCTTAAAGCCATGAAATTAAGTTCTGCATGTTAAATAGTCATGGGCTTAAAAAGAACCTGAGAATTTAGCATTTGGATTCCTTAGAAAGAGAGCTGTACAACATAGTGCATATCTAACTTATCCAATTGAGGGACCACTACTGCCAAAGTTTTCCTGGGATATTGCAGCTACTTTGGCCTCTCCTGGAGAGGAATAGTGATACATCTTACCCTGTGGAAACAGTTGGACTTAACAACATGCCTCTTCACTGGTGACATCAAGGCATGTTTCCAAAAACATTCTCCCCCTGCTTAACACCTTTATTTATTTATTTATTGAAATGCAGGTTATCTACTTCATGTATTGATCACTGTCATTACCAACTTTAAGATACGAGTAATGCGGCACAGGATTCACTTCTTGCATAGTAACCTTCTGGCACTGTATGTATACTTCAGTTGATGAAAAGTAATTGTTTCAAAGTTGCCTCCACTTTATGTGGATAGTTGCAGTGTTAGTGATCAGAGTCTTCAAACCTGTGTTGAGTTTTGGATTTTGAGTAAAAGCTCTTGTAATTTTTTTATTGTCGGAAGGCTTCAAAGTGAGCACCTTTGTAACTTTTTTTTGGCTTTAAGATGCCTAAGACTTTCTCTATTATGGGAAAGTGTAAATCAAAATATTTTTTCCACAGCTTTCTATAAAAAGTGTTTGCAACAATCTCTGCGTTTATGTGACTGTTTAAGGTAGTACAACATGAAAATATGGGTACTTTCAGCTGAATGTAGTGCATTTAGTAAAACCAAAAGAAAGCAGTAGAATTGTGTGCATAACATGAGTATCTGTGTTGGTGAACTAGAAGCCTTGTAGATTCTGCTGTGTTGAAACACTGGTGGGGCAGCTTCTGTCCTGAAGAATAAGGGAATATATCTTCTAAAAATGAGGAGTTTTCAACTTGTTGATGAGTTTTCTGCAGAACTAGTGACTTTTTAAGGAGCTACTCAGGTTATAATTGGTTTTATAAGCAACTGAATAAGGACTGAGGTCATGCTTTCTAAAAATGTACGCTAGTGGAATCAAAGATGAAAATTGAATAAATCATTTGAAAAGTTTGCACCTTTTATACAGTTTGAAGTGGCATGTAGTGAAGCCCACAGAATGCAGGTGGGACTCTATACATATTCAATAGCAATCAGGATATACAGAACAGCATTGAAATGCATAATCCCTGTAAATTTATGGATGTGAAGAATTTCTAAAATTGTGCTATGAATTGAGTATGTTAAACTCCACTGACCTATGCTGCACAGCTACTGCAGTTACAGAAAGTTTTCTTCATAAACAGAGGTATCTTTATTCATCTGTAGAAAAGAGGAGAGTGTATGAAGACTTCTGCGGTGATTTTTAACTGATGAGTCCCTTCAGACTTTTCAAATGAAAAATTATAATACAGATGAAGACAGCTCTGAACGCTTCCAAGTGGAGTAAAGTTAGTATGTGCTGTGTGTTGCACTGCAATTAACTCAGCCAGTCACAATTTCTCTTCACTGATTTTCTGGCAAATTCTTTATAAAAATAAGGGTGCATGAAGGCTAGTACTTTTTAAAACTTGATCTGATAATATGACAGATGATTAACTCTTGAGACATGTGGGCTTGCTTTCTGTGACACCTTGTTACAGCAGAATCTTCTTTCTCCTAGTGAGCTTTTCCAGTGATAGTTTTCAGTGTCTGAAATATAGATGGATGGTAATACGTATTACAGGAAGAAAAGAAGTAGTGATGCTTCCTGTGTGGTGCCACTCTTTGTATTGCAAAGTACTGCCTTGGAATGTCAACGTCTGGTTAACTGGTATTCAGCACTCTGTACCATATGCTGCTTCTAGTCTTTGACTGTTCTTTGACATTAGAACTGACTGTTTACTCTTAATATAGGGATTGATTTCTCATTTCAGTAAGTTTGTTTTATATTTAAACTATATCCTACTCAATTTATATATGGTGCTTGCCCTCAGTTAGTTTATTTGTGTTGCATGTATTGTTTTGTTAGTATTTTACTTGTAAATTTTTCAAGGATGTTGTTTTTCTGTATTTTAACAGTTCATAGTGAAGGATCACAGTGTTACCACTGGTAATGGAAGTATATTGATTAATTTAAAGACTGCTGCTTCAGGCGTTGTTAGGAACAGAAACTGATGTGTTTTGGTGTAGACATAGATGCTTGACTGATTCTGGACTGTTAAAGAATTGACTTAGTTTTGGTTTAGAGGCATTTCAGATTCTTGCTTCAAGAACAGGTTATATGTTGAAAGGGATTATCAGTGAGGAATTATATTGAAAGATGGAGTGGATATCATCAGTGTAACATCACCCAGCAGGCAGTTTAGTAGTTCAAACAACTCCTTAAGTAGTTAGGCTATCTATTATATATATCGAGCTTCATATGTACATCTGGTGACATTTGAGATTGTTTAGGGTATCTGAGATGCCTGAATAATTTCTGTATGGGCTAGAAAATACAACTCCAGACCTATAGCAGACCCGTGTCATCCAGCAGCAGTATCTATAAACTCAACAGGATGTTTCAGGGCTTTTCAAATAGCTTTATATGCCTGTATGTCTATTTAAATGAATCCCACAAGGAACCATGCTTTTATTCATGGTAGAACGTGTTAATAATGTGACATGATAAATTGTTCCAGATAGATGCCCTCTCTAGACTTTGTTGTCTGAGAGAAGTCTGTCTGTGGAGTCTTTTTTGATATAGATTATAATCTTGCCAGTCTTGCTATAAT